TTCATATATATGTATAGTGGGAAAAGGATGTGCAGTATGCAACCTTCAAGCAAGTTCCAGGCAGCCTTAGTGAAGCGTTTATTGCATGCTATATCAGAAATGGACCAACAGCTAATAAAAGCCTTAGGAGTCCCTTCAAAATCTCAGGTTCTTCCTTTTATTATCTTAGCAAGGATACAGACACTCCACATACCCAGCAGATATTTCCAATCTATATATGCACCTAGGTGTCTTCTATGCATCCATATACCATTTACTCTATACCTAGACTCTTCTTCTCATCTAGCCTTAAGTAGACATGTGCGATTCGTTTTGTTCCAAAACGAAATTCGGACGAAATTTCGGATGTATCCAAATTACAGCTGTAACGAATGCAAACGAATCTGAATATCCGTTTCCGAAATTCGTTAGCGGTAGTCTGGACGAAATTTTGTTTGTTGGACGAAATTTCGTTGCAGCCAAATGACATTTGAGGGAAAAAAATGTTTCCCTCGTATTCCGAAAGGAACATTACCGCTAACGCATTTAGTCCCAATCCGAATTCTGAAACAAATTTATTTTCGGACCCAAATCCCAAAAAACGAAATAAATCAAAATCCGAATCAATACGAAACAAAACTAAACAATTTTTTTGCTGGTGCACATGTCTAGCCTTAAGCTGGCCACACACCAGTAGAATTGTGTTCAAAAAATTGTGGAAATATTTGTTCAGCTTTACCTTCATGTACAGTTTACTGCCAGTCACTGATGGGATTTCTGATCTTGCTGGTCTGATGATCCATTTGATGTTACTTCCATTAAAAATATTCATGGAAGTAACATTAATGGAAGTAATATTAATATAAGAACTCCAGGTATTTTTCAAATAGACCATTGTAGTGGGGCTACTCCCGCAATGCAAGGGTTAAGTGCTTGTTTAGGTCTAGGAGCGAAAATAAAGAAGATTAATTTACCCGATCCTCGGTCCTGCGGCAGTGACCTCTCTTCTCCTCCACTGCAGCTGTGCTATGTGTCCTCAATGGACCTGCATTAAACGTGATCCATGGTTCCTGCCACCACATATGCATACATCCACATAAACCCCAAATATATTTTGCAAACCTATTTTCAATTATATAAGTACCCCATAACTTACAATACTTAAGTGTACAGGAATTATTTAAACTCGTCTTTAGCCACAGAAATATGAAATTATATATGAATATGTAATATCTGCCATGCTTGCTCAGCAAGTGCAAGCAAGTGCAGATTACAGTATGCCAATTGCAGGTTTTCTGCAACTCTTTGCGTTTATGCTATAAACAGAATGTCATTAGATCCCCTGTCAATTCTATTCAAAACACACATCTGAATTAGTCATAGAATAACATAACCTCCTCAATTTCTTTAGTCTATCAGGCTCTTTATGGAGTATTAGTTAGAGAGACACAGTCTATAAGGGGGTAGCTACTGTTTACTGTCTTTAAAAGTACAGTTGTCCCCATTGGAAGATTTCCCCTCTATTCCTGTTCTAGGGGTAACTCAACATTTTGGATTTTTACCTCAGGGACAGCTGGAAAGACACCATATCCCAGATATAACATGTATGGTGACAGCAGCCCCCTTTTCCCACGACTGGATATGCCACCAGAGCTAGCTCCCTGTGCGCTGGAACTTACAGAGTTGATTATAGTAGAAACATTACCCTTAACATCAGACAGAACCACCAATGTTGGGGTAAAACAGGAAATAACAGAATCTCTGCCCTCACACCACACTCTCTCTCAGTTTCCTACATTCACCCAGTCACTGGTCAGGAGACAGTGTAGGAGAACAAACGTGTGAAAATTTTATTGAGCAACAGCACACATTCTATAGCTCACATATCCCACCTTCCCTAGGTAAGATTACATAATTTTAATAAAATTTACTTTTCTTTGAAATAGCTGAAAAGGTTGACTATGAAGGGATTATCAAAAGGGTTAATGATAAAGGGATTATCAAGGTGATCATGTCAGCAGGCTCATCAGGGAGGAAGATGTAATTATTTCTGCAGGGAGCCTATTGTGTGGGGAAGCATTCCAGACTTTATGGAGCCAGCAGGACAAGGCACACAAAATGTCCACCCGAGAGTTAAATTAATTGGTAATAAATCCCACTGGTCCACGATCCAGCTGGTGGGCACAGCACTAAATAAGCCCATACGGGAGTTCCATAGAGGAGTTCAGATGTTAGGTCTGGGACAAGCTACAGTACTAGCCACACTGGCAATCTAAAACCTTATTCCAGACCAGGGTCCATAGTTATTGGGGAGGAGGCTAGCCTTCAGTCCCCTCCAAGTGCCCAGGGCACTGAGGCTTCTGTGACATGTATGTTTTATGTTTGTTCCATAGATGGGGGGGTTACGGGGACAAGGGAGGCTTGGAGATATGCAAGGTATCGCTGCCCGTTGCTCATCCTTGAAAATCAAGCAGCGTGCTGGTTCCCCAGTCCAGACTCTGGACACAGGTAGAAACTGTTAACGAGACGGACACAGTAATATCAAAGCTGCCCTCAACCACAAATTACTGGTTTATGAGGAACCTCCTGTTCCTGACACCTTTAGTCAGAAGACATTAGTGCGCCATGAGCTGGCACTACCTATGGCCTGTGTTTACATAAACTTGGGGCGGGGGTGGGGGCTGGAACAGAAATGAGGGAAGTGGAGTAAAAAACACCATCCCCAATAATGTGTTCTTGGGTACTGACCTGGGGCGGTTAGTATCCCATAACGAGTCAAGTGCAATGCCCCTGGAGCCTACATCTCCACCTGAGGTACTGTTTTGGGACAGAGACAACAGTAAAGACCTGTCATGGGTTAAAACCTCCCACTGCTATCCAAAACTAAAGACATTTTTTTATACTCTTTAGAAATTGATAAGGATGCAATTGATATAGATAACTGTGCCGTTTTCTGCAACGGACAGTAGAATAATGTGCCCATAAAGCAGAATATATAATAGACATCTTAGAATCTGTGGTGCAAAGTACAGTATCTCACTAATATGTGAGTTTGTGGAAGAAGGAGAAAATAGAATTGAAGATAACATTTATAAGCACATGCAATGCATGATATTACAGATAGTGCTGGGACAATGTCCATACTCTGGCTTGTACGCATATACAGTAGTAGACTGCTGTCTTATTGGCAGAAAGCATTGTATCAATATAATGAACATCTCAAGTATCAGATGAGCAGATTTTGATTAACACCACTTTATGGTACAACACAGGCAACCACCCAAAAACATGAGTTGAAGCTGAGCTGAATACAGATGGATGACAAAATGCAAAGCAGAGGTTATCTTAGATGCAAACCACATTTCAAAATGATCAATATATCAAGATTTAACCCCTTCATGACTGAGCTAGTTTTCAGTTTCTGTTCATAAATGACTGACACGCTTTTTACATTTTTGCTGTGTGATTCTTCCACAGCAGTAATATACTTTCTTAATAAATGTACCCACACATATTATATATTGTTTTTTAGAGGACAGATAGGTACACATGTTTGATATAACTATATAGCCCTAACTCCTCACTTAGTTTGAATAAAATATTAAAAAAATGAGGGAAAAAACTAGAAGAAAACACTCTTTTCACAAGTTTTGATTATTATTATTTTTTTAGAAATGTTTTAATAATAATTATAGAATAACAAATATAATTATATATGATTTATAGTTTCCTAATTTTGTTTTACACTTTATTTTATTTTTTTACACTTTGTAAAAAAACAACAACTTTTTTTTGTCAGTTTATATCAAGCAGGCACTATGATTGCTTGATAAATTAACTTTTTTAATTTTTGGCTATTATTAGGCTGCTCCATACTTAGGAACAGCTAATAATAACCTTAGAGACTGATCCTAACAGCATGTCAGATTCAGATCTCACTAAAGGTCTTTGATCGTGCCTAGATGATCAGAAGTGATACATTTCAGGCAAAGAGATACATTGTATCTCTTGTATCTCTTTGGCTGAAATGTATCATACAGCTTCATAAACATCGGGCTATTGAGCTGTGACAACGAATAGCAGAGAGGTGAGTCAATCTGCAACCTCTCTGCTATTTTCAGCTGTTAAATACGGGATTGCTATTTAGCGCTCCCGTATTTGCATGTAACGGCTTCATTCTTTCATTAATGAAAGAAAGAAGCTTTTACAAAAGATTAACTATGTCATTAATGAATGCCTCAATAGTGAGGCATTCATTAATGACTGGTAACCATTGAGAATCAGTGGTTACCGGCATTACAGAGCCTTAAATAACTTGTCACGTACAGTGTACGTGGCCAGTCATATAGGCACTTTGTGACCAGACGTACAATGTACGTCTCCCGTCACAAACGGGTTAAAGGAAGACAAATGTATATGCAAATCTGGACGTTTCCTGTAAACATCAGGTTTTTCCCCACCCCCTCCTGCCCCCAAGATTCCTATTGGTCCTCTTAGTGAGAGGCTGAGGAGAAGGTAGGAAGTTCACGGCCAAGCTGAGATTTTACAGGAAAATAATATAACGTGACAGGCTTGCTTTGATTGGAAATAAACAGAAAATATTAAAATGCTGGGCTGAATAGTTTAAAGCAGAGGTAGCCAAGCTTTTGCCCTCCAGCTGTGATGAGACTGCAAATCCCAACATGCATCTGCCTCTGGAAATTTTGCTTTGTAATGCCTAATGGGACTTGTAGTTTTACCATGGCTGGTGGGCCGAGTTTGGCTACCCCTGCTTTATAGCATTGGTAAACAAACGTAGATAGCTTCCAGACTAGGTGGAACTAAATCATGATGTTTATAAGTTCTCCCTGATTTGTCCTGTGCCACAACTATTTCTATTACATGAAAAACCCTTTTCCAAACTAGCTGCTGAAGGAATGGGTAAGCTTTGCTACTATGTCTATACCACAGGACATTATTAATGTCAGTTACTTAAACTAAAGAATTTTCAAGAAGGAGGGAAAAAAAATGAAAAGACTTACCGTTATTGATCAATACATGAAGGCCAAGGTTTCTTGCTTTAAAATTCTGAACACAGTTCCGAATGGACTTCATGGAAGTCAAGTCACAGAATACAAATTCCACTGGAGAATATGAAACAAAAGAAGAAAAGAAAATAACTGGGGAATCCGGGAAGGAGTACACTTTCCTTGGCAATTGACTTTCTATTACTACACTGCACTATTTTGTTATACATAAAAATGAGCTTCCTTTTCAAAAGCAAAATACCAAAACAATATCAGGGAAATGTCAGGTAAGCATTATTACATCCGACACAGATGCACTAACATGCCGGCATGACTTACATATGAAAGAAGAGAGATTGCTTCTGACTGACACAGTTAAAGTAGATGTAAAACCTAAATGAATGACACCTAGAATACTAAAGCACTGTGTATCATAAATAACTGTTACTTTTTAAAGAAAATACTTGCATTTATTTATTTATTTAAACTTTGGTTGCATTTTAGTCCCAATAGTCTCCTGCAGCCTCTTTTCGGACACTTGCTGTCTACATGCATGAACTTCAGCGATGGCTGCATGGCATTCTCAGAAAAGGTTTCATGATGGTGACAGTGGACCAAGACTACCTAATGTGTGTTGAGATCACCATGAAGTTTCCATCAAAAGTCACATGTCTACTTACATTAGCCCAGCTTGGCACAATGCACATATACTGTACATAATTTACTCCTGGGAGGGCCACGGGAATCCTGGAAACCATGCAGTAGCATGGATGCAGGGTGGTGAGGTCACATGAAAGGGGAAGCCGCTCAGCACATGAGCAGTACCAGGGACCAGAAAATCCCTGTAAAGCACTCGTTGCACTAGTTACATCTGCTACTACAGTATTTTACAGGATTCACGTGGTCCTACCAGGTATAAAATATGTATATTTACATTGGTCCAAGCTGTGTCAGTATTAAAATAAACCTGTCATAAGAGAAACATAGAGGCTGCCATTGCTGAACTCTCCTTCTGAAAATGCTAGTTGCCTGGCAGTCTTGTTAATCCAATGGCTTTAATATTTTCTGAATCACTGGCTGGCATCTATGTAGGTCAGGATTTCTGACCCAAATTTCTTATAGTCCCTTAAATTTAAAAAAAGAATTGACAAACAGTCCTCTTTTTTTCAATAGAGCACATTTGGCAACACTTTTTACTTATTTTTGTAGACTTACATCTAGAGAATAAACTTGGCAAATATCAGGAAAAACAATATATAAACAATATCAGGGCAAACCTAACCTTAATTGGCAAAAACACAGTGAAAGAGAAAGATGCTTGTATTGCAAGCGATTGTGTTCACCATTACTTTAGTGCCAAACTGTCAATTAATTTTAGAGATTATAATTTTTCAGCTTTAGGAATGTAGTATATTTCAGGAAAAGACACAAAACATTATCAAGAAATGGTGGGAGAATGCGGAGCTTAAAATTAAACTTTTAGTTTAAATCAGCTAAACACATTAAAGTGAGCCGAACACGTGCTAGACGAGAGGGGTTTAGACTTTGTTTTTTTGATGATTAGCTGTTCTATAAATGACCCTGCCCAAGTGTACTTTTGCTAAGTGTAAGTCCCATTTTTCATTTGACAGACCCTGTCCCATAACGTGAATACTTTTGGGCACCTTCACCAAATATGTAAGAAAGTGTGTTGCAGTCCCTAAAACATGTAGAGGGATAGCATTGATTGAAACTGGCTATTTTTGTTGGTACTGGGCACCACTGAAACATTAGTTTGCAGTTTGTTTTCAACACAAACATTCTGGAAGTATGTTTTGGTAGTGTAGCCCCTATATAATATACATATATGTGCTATCACAGCGATTCTTGTTCCTAACTGTAAGGAGTTAATTTGTCACTGTGTGTGATCTGAAGCAGAGATTTGTGGGGATTGCAGTGCAGAGCTGACACTGGGGATTGTTAATAGAGCTTTTGTGAACTACGACTCCCAGAATGCTGTGCTAGAGGAAGGAGGAAGGGCTACGGATTGCAGTGACTGAGCGTGCCCAGTCTGACTGGGGGATCTGGAGGAGACAGGCCTGTGTGTGAGGCACTGTGTGAATTAGGACTGCAGGCAACAGAACTGAGTGATTCCCACTGACAGTTTGGGACACACAGAATCGGTACAGCCGCATCCTGAAAGACTGATGTTCATCTGCTAAACCGGAGAGACTGTGTTTGAGCACCCGAACTGAGGCCTAGTCGCGTGGCTGAACCGGCCACCGGAGTAATCCAGCCTGCCCAGCTGAGTGAGTGGAGCCGACGGAGCTGACTGAGATCATTGCCAGGTACCCTAGATGACCCTAGACGGCCCTTAGACGATCCGAGATGTCCTGCCACAGGCCTTAGAAGACTACATCCTTTCACAGACGTCGGTCTGAGGAAAGAGGGACATTCACATTCCACAGACAATCATCCTCCTTTTCCCAAAGGGACACTGGAAGTGGTGAGAGGCCTTTGGCCATTGCAACAACTGTACTTTCTACATCTGCTATACAGCAAGGGCCCCAACGTTGGCTAGCCTAGGACAGTACTACTGGCCAGTAGTTTAGAGTGGACTAGATACTGTTAAGTAGAGATATTACTGTTGATTATATTCAATTTAAGTGTATTATCTGAAACAATCTGACATTGCTGGTTTTTCGTGCATGCAATATATATATAGCTGCAGCTACTGAGTTGTAGATTGCCTTAGCCTGCTGCCTTATATCCCTTTGTGTGATTGTTGGGTATACTATTGCCATAGTTGCTTTGTATATTGTGCTATTATTAAATCTGCTATAAAACTGTTCAAAGGTGTGTTGGTGTGCTGTGGATCCAAGATTTGGGCGGTACATTGGTGCAGGGGGATAGAAATATCCGGTTATTCAGCGGCTCCTTAGGGGGTGAGCGCTACAGTAGATAGCCAGATTCGGATTTCATTAAAGGGGTGCACTCACTTAAAAGGAGTGCACCTACTTTATCTGCCATCTGTATTTGTATGTCCACATAAAAACACAGATGGCAGATAAAGTAAACACAACTGTATCTATTGTGATTAACTTATGCCACTTGTTCCTACTGAATATTCTCAGCACACAGAATGCCTCCCAACATTGTGTTTGAATAACAAATCCCTTAAATTTTTTTAGCTGCTGGGTTTTTTTCTCTCACCAAAACACAATGTTTGGCTAAATCTTTTGTATAATTTAAATTGGGTAACAGGGGATTGTGTATAATAATTGTGCTCCTACTACTGATCATTTAAATTTCAAAATTGAAACGTCTGTTTTTTCATTAGTTAACAGAAGGCTTTTTTGGTAGGTCTGAATGCAGGTTTTTTTATGTGGGGCTGTCATCCTTAGTCGCCACACAAAATTTCATTGCACAGAATTTCTAACATATACAATATAGAATGATAAATATAGCAACATCAAAATCTAAGTGTCAGAGAAGCCAAGCAAGCGGTCATAGAACTGGTACTGTGAAAGCCATTGCGCATGCGTGTGGGACATGGTTCCGTGCTAGTAATGCTCGTAATCGTGCACATGCACGCGGACGCTGATGCACACGTTCACGCGCAAAGGCGCTCACTCAGATCGGCGTGCCTGTGCTCACGTTAATCATAGCGCCAAAAGGCCTATTTAAACTTGCATTCTGCATGCACACAGTGCTGAGTGTTCTTCAGCTAGTGTCTGACGTTGATTCCTGATTGCTCCTGTTTCTGACCCGGCTTGATCCACTGACTCTGCTGTTCTCTGCCTGCTCCCGACCTCGGCCTATTCCACTACTCTGCCCTTTTGTCTGCTGATTTGGCACCACTTATCCCGCACGGCTTGTCCTGACCCAGCTTCTGTTTTCTGATTCGGTACTGCACAGCTCGCCAGTTACTGACCCGGCTTGGCTCTGACTCTGCTTATCTGAGTTCCTGATATCCTGCATGCTGCTGGCTGACTACCTGCCTGGTGCTTCACTCCGGTGTCTTCAGCATCTGTACCCAGTGGCACCTGTGCCTCACGAAGTCCATTCGACCCTGTTCCACTCTCAGGGGCGCTCAAACCCGTGCTGCAAGGGAAGGTCCTTCTTGTCATCTCAGACTCACATCAGGTACGTGACAGTAAGAAACCAGAGGACTATTAAAAATGTGGGTTTTGACCATTTTGCAACGCTCGTATAACCAGTGGTGAGAGCATCTTCTAGTGTTCTGCTTAGCTTTTGATAAATCACACTAGGGTAGTTGTTTGTATTTATTAGACATGTAAATTTAATTTAGTTCCGAATGACTATTCATACGAATTTCATTAAATTTGGACATTCAGATGCATCCGAATTTCCTAATTTGAATGCGTCCAAATACAAACAAATCTGAATGTTCCTATAACAAAAATTCGGATCTGTCCCAATTTCAGAACAAATGAAAATAAACTAGACATGTAACTGTTTTCTGGCCAACCAGATTTTTTTGGGGGGCTGTTGGGGGTTGCATTACAGGAACAATTGTGACTTCCTGTTGTGGAAGTTTCTGAAATGAACATTCGGACGGATATAAAATTTCAGATCCAAAATTCGAAAAACAAAGAAATACAAATCCAAAATGAAACACATTTTTTGTGGGGTTACATGTCTAGTATCTAAAGTGGTAATCTTTCTGGATCAACATTCTTTGTACTCTGTAAATCCCTACTGCAACCAAAGCAGCCCTATACCATTACAAGTCTTTTGCCATGCTTTCCAGATGGCATCAAACACTAATCCATATACTGTATGTCTAACATATTATTCCATGACTTGATCCTGACACATTTGGTTTACACTTCTTCATTCATAATACTGTTTTTTTTTTTTTTAAAGATCCATCATTTATTTTTGTGTTCCTTTATTTATTTTATCCATTTCTTTGTATTCGCTAGTTTCAGATATTTTTGTTTGGCATGCTGCCTCCAAACCAGCATCCTGGAATTATCTTTTCATTGTTGCAGATGACAAATGTATTTGGTTAGTACTATTTAAAGTGCACATATACCCATGCTATGGATGGTAAACTTTTTACATATTCTTAACACGCAGTAAAAGAACATTTAAAAAAATGTCCTTACTGA